CTGATAGAACTGATTTTTTCCAGGAAAAAATTCTGAAAATCAGTGCAAAGTGCTATGGTTGGTGTGGAGGGGGCGGTGGATATAACCTCTCCAACGTGTCCTGGGTCGACCCGGGGCCCTCCTGCCGGCAGGACATGCCCGAAACACCTCCCCGGGGAGGCGTCCAGGAGGCATCCTGACCAGATACCCAAACCACCTCAGCTGACTCCTTTTGATCCGGAGGAGCAGCGGTTCTACTCCGAGTCCCTCCCAAATGTACGAGCTCCTCACCCTATCTCTAAGGCTGAGCCCGGCCACCCTACGGAGGAAACTCATTTCAGCCGCTTGTATCCGCGATCTCGCTCTTTCGGTCATTACCCAAAGCTCATGACCATAGGTGAGGATTGGGACGTAGATCGAACGGTAAATCGAGAGCCTGGCTTTCTGGCTCAGCTCCCTCTTCACCACGACAGATCGGCTCAGCATCCGCATCACTGCAGACGCCGAGCCAATCCGCCTGTCGATCTCCCGATCCCTCCTACCCTCACTCGTGAACAAGACCCCGAGATACTTAAACTCCTTCACTTGAGGTAGGACCTCTCTCCCCTCTTACTAACTGTAAACGGAAGCGTTGCAAAAAAAAAAAAAAATCAATAAAACTTAGGATCTTGTAGGCGTGGTGGTGGGATTTCAGCTGTGGCGGGCCGCCATGGCTACGCCTATGTAAGGGAAACACTGGGATGCCAGCCTAACTGTAATAAATAAGTTTTCTGAAGAAATTAGTGAAGAACCACAATCAGGATCTGAGAATGAACGTGCAAAAGGTTGTTTTCAAGAACTAAGTGAAGAGCTGAAGTCAGACTTTGATTATGAACTTACAAAAAATATTTCTGAACAAACAAGTGAAGACGCTGATAGAAAAGATGAGTAATCGATTACAGGATCTGATTTAATTGATGATGAAACTAGTGAGGAACCATGGTCACCTGAACCTGTAAAACGTGTTTCAAAAAATTTATTGAAGAATCGCAGTCAGGCTCTGGCGGAGAATGCAAAAAAAGGTTTTCCGAGTACGAACTTGGTAAAGATGGCTTAAGTAATGCAGAAAAAGTATATATCATGTTAGATTAGATTAGATTAGATTAGCAGAGAATGTCTCTAGTAGAAGCTAACCATTAGCATTAGCAACTCCACCACACAGCAAAAGATACTCCAGGCTTGTGTTACTTGGAGATAAAAGTCAGTGGTAGAGTTGTGTTGCTGTTATCCAGTCAGAGGGGAGATGTCGAAATATAAGAAATAGATTTGTTTAGATTAGATTAGATCAGATCCTGTTTTATGTGATAGAATAGAATAGAATAGAATAGAATAGAATAGAATAGAATAGAATAGAATATTCTTAGGCCATCTGCCCCTCAATGACATGTTATCCAGGGGTTACTAAGTGAATTATTAAGCATGAATAAACAAAGACTTTATCACCATACCATACCAACTTTATTTCTATAGCACAATTTAAGACACAGCATGAGAGCTGACCAAAGTGCTGAACAGGCAGGATCAGTTAGAACAAAAGTAAAAACAATAAGATAAAACACAACAATAAAAACTATAAAATCATAATATGATAACATTGAGTCACTGTCTAAAAGCCAAGTCATAAAAGTAGGTTTTTAAATGAGATTTTAAAACAGACAGAGGATGCCAGCCTAACTGTAAACGGAAACATCGCAATGAATAAATAAATAAACAAATAAATAAATAAATAAATAAAAAATCAATAAAACTTGGGATCTTGTAGGCGTGGTGGTGGGATTTCAGCCGTGGCGGCCCGCCACGGCTACATCTATGTAAGGGAAATAGTGGGATGCCAGCCTAACTGTAATGGGCAATGAGTTCCAGAGCATGGGGGCAGCATGGGCAAACACACGTTCACCTCATGATTTGTAGGCCATCCGGGGAGTGCAAAGCAGTAGACGGTCAGCTGACCTCAGCATACAAGTAGGTACATCGGGAGTCAGCAGGTCGGATAGATAAAGAGGAGCTAGGTCCTGTAGGGCTTTAAAAACAATCATCAATATCTTAAAACGCACACTAAATGTAATGGGGAGCCAGTGAAGACATTTCAGGACTGGTGTAATATGGCTATGTCGACTTGTGTTTGTTAAAAACCTAGCAGCAGCATTTTGGACAACCTGCAACTGGTTCAGAGCAGAGACAGGAGTTCCAACTAACAATGCATTAGCGTAGTCCAAGTGAGAGGCGATGAAAGCGTGGATGACTGATTCCAAGTGCTTCCTCTTTAAGATCAGTCTTAAACGAGATAGGCAGCGTAACTGATAAAAACAAGACCTCACCACTGAGTTGATCTGAGGAGTCATTGAAAGGTTGGCATCCATTTTTACCCTGAGGCTTATTGCACACTGCTTAGGGTTTAAACCATCAAAAGTGGAATGAGAGCCAGAAGGATTGCGGGTATCAAAGACAATGGACTCAGTCTTTAAATCATTTAGCCTGAGGAAATTGACCACTAGCCAGCCCTTTACGTCTGCCAGACATGCCGCAAGACGAGAGTCCACATTTCCATTTTTAGTGCCACGTATATTTGGCAATTGTCAGCATAGATGTGATAATTAAGACTGTGCCTATTTAGGATTTTGCCCAGTGGTAGGAGATAGAGAAAAGGAGAGGCCCCAGAACAGAGCCCTGAGGCACACCCCAAGGCAGAGGGAGAGAGGAGGAGGAACAATATCCAGTCTGAACAGTAACAGATCTGTTGGATAAACAGGAGCGAAACCATTCAAGTGCAATCCCCTTTACCCAACCCAAAACTCAAGACGGCCCAGCAGAATATGGCGGTCCACAGAATCAAAAGCTGCTGAAAGGTCTAGCAAGAGCAGTAATACCCTAGACCCAGAGTTTATTTTGTTACTGTTAACTATTAAATGTCCTTAAGGTTAGGACAGGGGGGTCTGCTTAGTAATGCATGACAAAATGTTAAGCATAAAGTTAAGCAGTTGTTAATGCTTTATGTGATAGTTTTATTATAGCAACAAGTAATGTTAATAAAAGGGAGCCTTATTGTAAAGTGTTACTAGCACTGGTAATGCTACTTTCAGTAATGAGATGAGGTTCGATTCCCTGCAGTGACCTGCTGTTTGTGTTTATGCTGACATGAAAGAGATCATTTGTTGATTAAAATAAAACAAATAAATCATAACAGCTTTGATGCAATCGGTACACTTACCACTCAGCCTGCTAAAGTTTAGAGACAATTCAAAGATGAGAGAAAAAAGCAATTCCCAGCAGATGGATTTAACACAGGAGTTGACGAGTAATAATTACGAAACCATAGACATGAACATGTAGATGATGTCTGTGAGAGTAAGTGCCTGAATAATAATAATAATAATTGTTAGATATTTTAACCAAAAGAACGCACACATTTTTGTTTTGTATGTTAAATATTATCATATCACACGTTAAATTACAATTAAATTGTAAAAAAAAAATCTAATATTTACTTGGGGGTGCTATGGGGTGCAATGACTAATCCAGGGGTAGCTATAAAGCCCCCTAGCGCCGCCACTGGCATGTGTATCTGCTAGTGTTGAAGGTGTTTTAGAGAACAATAGGTATGCATGACCACTTCCTTCATAGCACCCTCAATAAAAAGACTGGCTCCTTCATAGCACCTGCAGAAAAAAATTTCTGGAGCCGCCACCACAGCAAACTAATAAAATAATATGGTTCAGAGTCTCCAAAAGCAACACAGCTCATGTTCGCCTTTTGTTTACCTTATGGAGCGGATTAAGTGCTGCCCACAGGCTCGGGGATTTCTTGCATTCCTGAGAAGTCCCTTGGATTTACTTAACACTACACCACCCGTTCGAGACCAAACTCACGCCATCCAGCCCGACCAAATCCCGACCGTGCTGACGCTAATGTGTAAGCACCATTACACTGATAACGAGTTGCAACAGGTGCCATTAATACAGGTAATGCATGGAGAACAAGAAGCCTTCATGAGAGTCAGAATTCTTGCTTGTTTGTACAAAACCAAAAACTGTTTTTCCACAATAATTTTCAATTAAATTCTGTAAAAATCAGACAATGTGAGTTTTTGTATATTTTTCTCATTTTGTCTCTCATGGTTGAGTTATACCTATGATGAAAATTACAAGCCACTCATCTTTTTAACTGGGAGAACTTGCACAATTGGAAGCTTTTCCCCATTGCTGCTTGCACCAACACCACTAGGTATGTTGTCTTCTTTTAACTTCATATGTTTTTGTCATTATATTATTACTTGTGTTGTTGTTTGCACCAGGGATGTGAAGAAACAGTTTTGACATGAAAGTGGAATTAAATAAATTGGGAAGCAAATTTGATTTTTCTGTGGAAAAATAGAGTATCTCAGGATCCTGTAGTTATAATAGACTTATACAATTTTTAATAATCTAAAATGGTTTATTTAGACATATATGTGTTAATGAGCCATGAAAACATAGTGAAAGGGTTATAACAAATGACTAATAATTTTTGTACTTGTAAACTGATCTGTGTGTACTGCAGTCTCGTCCGTGTGTACCAGGTGATTTGTGTGTGTGTGTTCAATGATTTGTATGTGTGAGAACTGAAGTTACACACACAAATGTAATAAGTTACAAACCAAGAGTTACACGCACACAAACCTTTAGTTACGCACACACAAATCTAGATACACACGCACAAATCTAGACACACACACACAGATCTTTTGAGACCATTTTCTCCCCATACTGCTGCATGAATCCTAATTGCATGCAGAGGTCTCTGTGTGCACGTTTGCCTGAGAGAGGAAGAATGAGAGCCGCTTGAAGCTGAGGGACAAGTACATGCTGATGTCTCAGATTCCCGATTTCAGTCTGCAATGTGTGTGTGTGAATCCTCACAGGGTGTATCCAATACACAGTTAAAATTAGGCTGGGCAGGCCTTATACTGCTGACAGTGCTGGGGTGGCCAAAAAAAGCTCGGGGCACAGGCCAACAGTGGAGGCTCGAGGAAGAGAGGGGAGCAAGCAGGACCACTGCTGAAATGGCCACCAAACGTAAGGAAATGATTTGTGTTGGCTAAAAAGCGAGCAGAATCAGAGGAGTCAGGTAGAGGGGAGGGAAGTTAGTAGGCAGGTGTGAGACAGGACGACGAGTCAAACACAGAGCCTTTCACTCACAAAGAGATAGACTGGAGCTTCTCTGGCTGAATGTGGTGCGTTTGTTTCATGTTTTAAATGAATCAAGGATTAAGATGTGGCTTGTTTTCCCCTTCTAACATTGTTAGACTTAATGTCGGTAAACAAGTGCCTAAAAGCCCAAGTTTGAGTCCAAGTTTGAGCTCATTTATAAATATTCAGTCCAATAAAAGAAGTCTGATAAGTCTGAAAATGTTCAATTATGTCTTTTTTAAATCTAAGGAGCTTGCTCATTTGCATTTTTACATGTTTATTTCCTTTTGTTGGCTGACCCCTGAGATTATCCAGTTGTGTTTGTTTAGATGTGAGACATAATTGTTTAAATCGGAAAATCATTAAGAGATTATGACTTAAAGCCAAGATATTCATCTCAGAGGATCTAATGTAAGACAAACTAATACAAAAAGTCAAACATTATTTATTTGTCAAGAGATTTAAACTGTTTAGTTTTTTTATTCAAACATTTGGATAATTTTTGTACTGTTTTGTTCCTTTTTCCTGTCTAACATTTGTTTTAATTGTTCATTCAGAGGATGGTTGTTTGTTTGGATGTTTTGTTCCTAAAACTTTCTTGGGTTTATCTTTAAACTAACAATCTGCTTCTCACCGACTCCCCTGGTGTGTTTTCTGGTGTTTTACTGCAGTCATGGATCTGGTTTATTGGAGGAACATGAGGAGGACTGGCGTGGTGTTTACAGGTCTGGTGATTGGTCTGGCCAGCCTCTTCCAGCTGAGCGCCATCACTGTGCTGTCCCACGTCCTCCTGGGCATCATGTGCATCACCTTCCCCGTCTGTCTGTACTACAAGCTGCTGGAGGTGCTGCACTGGAGCTCCGGCTTCCACCCCTTCCAGTGAGTTCACCTCTCTGATGGTTTGAAAGAAAGCAGGATCCTCTCTCATCTGCATCCTGGTGGGTCCCCTGTGCTCTGCTCCCAGGTCCTATCTGGACTTTGACAGCTCTCTAACGGATAAGGACACGGTGGTGCTGGTGGAGGAGCTGGTGCTGTTGATGGCATTCGCTGTCACAGAGATCAAACGCCTTCTATTCATTGAAAACATCATCGACTCCATTAAGGTCAGAGCGTGATGATGGACTGATGAGTTTGAACACATGCATAAACTGATTCCTGAACTGATTCCTAAACATGTCTGGCGCCATCTGGTGGTAGAAATTAAGAAACAGTTTCACACTCATTAGGTTTTTATGTTTTTAAGTAAAAACACATTAAACTCTCATGTTGTGCACAGATGCAATAATTAAAGATACATCATATGAGCACCTTTTTTAAAAAAGTTTTATAGAAAATAAAGGAAACCGCTAAAATAATGTTTATGTTGATCAGCACAAAAACTGGGTTATTTTTATGTAAAGAAGCATCATTTTCACAGCAGAGTCCTCATTTTTGGAGTGATTTTCAACAGAAGTTTTCAGGCAAACCGTTTTGCTCTAAAGCAGCATTTCTGTCCTAAATTACAAAGCAGATTTTATCATAAGGGTTTGTCCTAGGAGTTAATTATAAATGTAAACATCTCAAGCACTTTGCCACATTTGATGGTTAAAACTAGACCACACTGGCCTCATTATTGACAAAAAATACTTCTTCTTTGACTAAATTGGTTAGAGGGCTAAAGAGTCTTATGCAAATTTAGAGGAACACTGATGCAAATTAGCGCACAAATGCAAAAAAAATATTTTGAGAAAAGTGGAAAAAAAAGGAGTAACGAGACCATTAAACAAACAGGAATGCAGGAACTCTAACAAGCACTGTGTGTGTGTGTGTGTGTGTGTGTGTGTGTGTGTGTGTGTGCTATTATTATAAGTCTGTTATTCCTTGGAGATAATCCTGATCTTCGTCTCTTCTCGCCTTCAGTTTGTTTTGCTGCTCTACCTGTTGACTTACGTCGGCATCGAGACCAACGGACTGACTCTGATTATGTCTGGTGAGCTCTGATGTTAAAAACCCTCTGACCCTGTGGCTAAAACACACACGCAACACTTTAGCAACAAAAACACATAAACGTTTCTTCTTGTCTTGCAGCTGTGATTGCTCTTTTCTCCTTTCCATTGTTATACAAAAAACAGCAGGTGAGTTTTGTTGGATTTGTTTTTTCCAGCTAATAAAAACACTTTCTGATTAGTTCAATCTGCTTTTATCCCTCTGCCATCTTGTAGGTGAGGATAAGACGCGCTGTTAGAGCAGTCAGAGCTGTGGAAAAGAAAATGAGATCCATGTAAGTGACCTGCTCTTCCTTTCTTTACTCATAATCTTAAATCAATAAAGGAAGAGATCAAATCTGCATTGCTTGTTTTTCCTACCCAGGTTTACGAGTCTGTATGAGTCAGTGAGACCCTCTGCTGCCCCTGAAGCCACCACTAAACCTGCTCCACCTGCCATCAAACAGAAAGCCAAGTCAAAGTAACTCGGCTGCTCGTGCCCTGAAAGGATTTGGGATCCGGAAAACATGTTGGAATGTGTGTGGGGCCGCTGGTGGGGCAGAGCTTTTACATCTCTACTCTGTGATCGTCTATGGGAGCAAGATTTAATTGATCCTGACAGCAGAAACAAAACTGCCATTCACCCAAGCAGAGGCTGGGACTGTGTGTAAGGTGGGAAACGTTATTTACTGAGACGCTCTTGGTCTTCACTCAGTCGTCTTCTGCAAACAGTAAAAACATGTCTGAGAGTAGATTTTACATGATTAATGAAGACTGGATTCATGTTAGAAGCCAGCTGTTCGTGACGATGCAAGGCTGAATGTTGCTGCGACAAAGCATCACTCTAATGTTTGTGATCAACTTCTTAAATGGAACATTTCTTCCACTTTAACTATTTTTCCCACTGAGGAATAAGTTGTCCTGAAGGTGTTCGAATCTAATCAGACTCACTTTTTGGATCTTTTGTTACAAATTACTAAAAAAGTGGAGGAAATGTTGCAGAGTCTGGACTTACTGTTGAATAAATTAAAATTAAGATTTTTTTTAAATGAGAATAAACTTTTATTTTACTGCCATCTTCTGTTAAGACGTGCAGTACTCATCACAACCACCGGGAGGTGGTAGAGATCAGCAGGATTAAGCCTATTCTAGCTGTTTCTCTTCATGAACTTCAGCTTCTGCAAGCTTGTTGCTTTATTATCTCCACAGACTAAACATGCTAGTTTTATTTAGTAATTATCAGAAATTTTATATGTAGAAAGCTGCCTGAATGCCAAGAACACAACTAAATAAAAGTCATGCAGGTAAACCAATAAAATCACAAACTGATCTCACGTTTTTTTTAAAACTCAACGTAGTGTTAAATCTGACTTAGTGATTTATTTTTGCCTTTTCATTTATTTAACTTATTCTTTGTGTTTTTTCTCAGTAAGAAAAAGAGTTATCTCCAATTTACTGAATTATTTCTTATGAACCAAAGGCACATAAATGACTTCCAGGACATTTCAGTAAATATAACTGATTTGATTTCAAATGCAAATTTGTTTCTAGTTTAATTCTTTCACACATAGGACAAAAATTTTTATACCCCCCCCCCCCCCACCCCCACTTCCTAAAAATAATAAAAGAATGAAAAAATGTAAGTTTAATTAAACTTGGTGTTTAATTAAATTTGAATTACAGGTGCTGGCCAGTAAATTAGAATATCATCAAAAGGTTGAAAATATTTCAGTAATTCCATTCAAAACGTGAAACTTGTACATTATATTCATGCAATGCACACAGACCAATGTATTTCCAATGTTCATTACATTTAAATTTGATATTCATAAGTGACAACTAATGAAAACTCCAAATTTGGTATCTCAAAAAATTAGAATATTCTGAAAAGGCTGAATATAGAAGACACCTGCTGCCACTCTAATCAGCTGATTTACTCAAAACACCTGCAAAGGCCTTTAAAAGGTCCCTCAGTCTTGTTTTGAAGGCACCACAATCATGGGGAAGACTTCTGACTTAACAGCTGTCCAAAAGACAATCATTGACACCTTGCACAAGGAGGGCAAGACACAAAAGGTGATTGCTAAAGAAGCTGGCTGTTCGCAGAGCTCTGTGTCCAAGCACATTAACAGACAGGCGAAGGGACGGAAAAAATGTGGTAGAAAAAAGTGTACAAGCTCTAGGGATAACCGCACCCTGCAGAGAATTGTGACGACAAACCCATTCAAAAATGTGGGGGAGATCCACAAAGAGTGGACTGCAGCTGGAGTCAGCGCTTCAAGAACCACCACGAGGAGACTCATGAAAGACATGGGATTCAGGTGTCGCATTCCGTGTGTCAAGCCACTCTTGAACAAGAAACAGCGCAAGAAGCGTCTCGCCTGGGCCAAGGACAAAAAGGACTGGACTGATGCTGAGTGGTCCAAAGTTATGTTTTCTGATGAAAGCAAGTTCTGCATTTCCTTTGGAAATCAAGGACCCAGAGTCTGGAGGAAGAGCGGAGAAGCACAGAATCCACGTTGCATGAGGTCCAGTGTAAAGTTTCCACCGTCAGTGATGGTGTGGGGTGCCATGTCATCTGCCGGTGTTGGCCCACTCTGTTTCCTGAGGTCCAGGGTCAATGCAGCCATCTACCAGGAAGTTTTAGAGCACTTCATGCTTCCTGCTGCTGACCAACTTTATGGGGATGCAGACTTCACCTTTCAACAGGACTTGGCACCTGCACACAGTGCCAAAACCACCAGCACCTGGTTCAAGGACCATGGTATCCCTGTCCTTGATTGGCCAGCAAACTCGCCTGACCTTAACCCCATAGAAAATCTATGGGGTATTGTGAAGCGGAGGATGCAATACGCTAGACCCAACAATGCAGAGGAGCTGAAGACGACTATCAGAGCAACCTGGGCTCTCATAACACCTGAGCAGTGCCACAGACTGATCGAGTCCATGCCACGCCGCATTACTGCAGTTATTGAGGCAAAAGGAGCCCCGACTAAGTATTGAGTGCTATACATGCACATTCTTTTCATGTTCATTCTTTTCAGTTGGCCAACATTAGAGAAACAAACATTTTTTCATTGGCCTTTAGAATATTCTAATTTTCTGAGATACCAGATTTGATGTTTTCATTGGTTGTCACCTATAAATATCAAATTTAAATGTAATGAACATTGGAAATACATTGGTCTGTGTGCATTGCATGAATATAATGTACAAGTTTCACGTTTTGAATGGAATTACTGAAATATTTTCAACCTTTTGATGATATTCTAATTTACTGGCCAGCACCTGTAAGTGTTAGTTACTAAGCTGCGCAGTGACACAGTGGTTACTAGAGCTGTAGCCTTGCAGCAAGGTGGTCCTGGGTTTGCTTCCCAACCTGGGATCTTTCTGCATGGAGTTTGCATGTTCTCCCTGTGCATGCGTGCGTGGGTTCGCTCCGGGTACTCCGGGTTCCTCCCACAGTCCAAAAAAACAAAACAAAAAAAAAAAAAAACATGACTGTTAGGTTACTTGGTCTGTCTAAATTGTCCTTAGGTGTGTGTGTGTGTGCATGATTGTTTGTCCTGTGTGTCTCTGTGTTGCCCTGCGATGGACTGGCTCTCTATGCAGGGTGTACTCTGCCTGATTGCCCATTGGAGACCCCACCCCCCTGCGACCCTACGTAGACAAAGCGGGTTCAGACAATGGATGTTAGTTACTCAATTTTACCTAAGAAAGAGGTCAATATCACCATGGCAACAATGCCTATTGCTGGAGGTCTAATGAACATCACTTCAACCAAACCACAGTCATTTTAATTGTGTTTAATTTTGTTAATTGCTGTACAAAATTATAATATGTATTGTCATTGAAAGTTTGCATTAATGAGCAAATCCAAAAGTAACAGTTTGTGTTTATTTGTCAAAATAATCCACACAAAATTACACAGAATACCCCACAATAAAAGTCTTTCACAAGGAAACAAGAACTTTATAAAGTGTTTTTTCTTTAAAGTTATTGCTGAAACATTTGGATTACATGAGATGGATGACAGATTGTGTTTTCTGTGACTTCAGCTGCCAAACCTGAGCCACAGCCTCTCTGTTCAGATGAACGTTAAATGGTGCATCAGTACACACGCTTACATGTGTTAATGAGTTTAAACTACACGTACACTTCATATACGGCACAAACATTTCTACTTTATCTCGGTTAGCGATGCTCGGTATCGAGACCTGCTCGGTTTCCTCCAGAATATTCTGAAGACCCCTTTCAATGAGATGTTTCACACACAGTATAGATTCAACTTTTAAAATCTAATTTTGAGAAATAAAAAACTAAACTATGCAATAATGCTTCAAATCATATTGTGTGTGCAATGTTAGTCTTTGTGGCCTTATTGTGAAAAGAAACCATAAAGATTTTCTCCAGAAAAATCTAACAGATCATTTTGTGTTGTACATTTAGTCGTTTTTACATGTATTATGTTGAATATTTTGCCCCCCAATAAAAGTTATTTACTAGAAACATGTAGAAACTCTGTGTGTTTTAGTCTTAAGTGTCTACATTAAGACATAACAGCTAAAGGTCACACAGGTCACTGAGGATGCTCTGCTCGGCCACTAGGGGTCAGCCATGGGAAATGGCTGCAGCATCCCTCAGAAAGACAAACTCAGAGCTACAACAACCGAGTCAAACGTTTCAAACATCAACACAAAATGTTACCTCCAGCTTTTCAAACACCTCGTCATCTTTTTAAGAGTTTCCTGGTATTAGAACGAGCTTTTGTCTCTGGGGGAAAAAAACAGTAAATTTTATGTGTTGATGACCTTGACAAGATGTTTTTATTCAAAAGAAGTAAAAAAAAAAAATAAATAAAAACCTACCAGCATCAATTCAAACTCTCTGAAATCTTCAAGGATAGCTTCTCTTCTTTCATTACATGGTGACTCAAAACTTCCAAGCTTCAGCGTTTACTTCTTAAAGGTCATCGAGCGCCATTATGGAGCCGTCTGCCTTTACACAGCAGCTCATAATCGCTCCTTTAAAAACTTCTCACCTCGTCCCTTACACTTGCGTTCGAGATTTATTAGCTGTCAATAAGCTCAAGACATGTAAATAGGATTAAGATTATCCTTTAAAAGGTTAGTTCCCTGGATTGCCACATTAAAAACCAGAAGTAGTTTTGTTTTTCTACAGAACAGCCTATTGTTTCCCTGATAAGTTTATAATTTAACAAATCAAAAGAAAACTAATTCTTTACAGATTCACACATATGAATCCAAAGATTTCTCTTCTTTAACATGAGAAGATGAGAGAAGAGAGAGTTTGAATGTTTGGTGAGATTATTTTCTGCTAAAGCACAAACTTCATTATAAGAAAGGTTTATGCTGGGCATGTCTGCAGCGAAGCGCCAAAGGAAATAGTTTGACATTTCAGGAACTGAAGGAGTCGTTCCCACTTTTGTTCCAAGCTACGCCTACATATTTACTAAGTTTCCTATTTCTGTGAGAGCCTGGGAGTCAACTGGCATCAAGAACAGCCTGTTCCCCTCTTCTTCTTTTTTTAAACATGAAATGAAAAGAGATGAAAGTGTAAAGAGCTGCCTGCAAAGAGGGACATCTTCCTCCTCTGCTGCTGCTGCCCGTCCTCCTCTGGATTGATGGCTCAGGGAATCAGGTGACGCCTGTTTGCTCGCCGGCAGGTGATTGGTAGGCTGCGTTCAGGACATCTGTCACACGTAGTGTTCGCGGTGGCTGATGTACACCCGGTCAGTCCCGCTCTGATGACACGCCCAATCCAGACGTGAGCGCTGCTGGGTTGTGGCCCTCGCTGCAGGCGGGTGCTGCTCAAACCTGCGCTCTCCCCTACGGGTCTAAAGATCAGAAAATCAGATGATCATTCGGCTGATGCTTGTTTTAAAATGTCAAAGTGAAGGTTTCCTTCTTTCATTTAAGTGGGAGCTGTAGAAAGAGCTTGAGTCATGCTGAGGACACGTAATTAAATTAAAATCATCCCAAATTTTAAACAAGCAGAGCCATTAAATGTCTCACCACTTCATAAACGCCAATAATGACACCTAACTGCTGTGACTCATCGTGACAAATGCAGTGATTTATTTTCTTTCCTTTGGCTCAGATTTGTTTCCTGAGCTGGTTGTAGCGAGGCAGCGGGGTTTACCTGACACAGCCAGGCCACTTGCGATGCGTGGACTCCCAGAGGAACAGCCGGTGCTCTCTCCGAATAGGGAGGGGGCGGCTTGTGAGTCGGAGGAAGGTCAATTCTTCACAGAGGAGGAAAAACACAAGGCAGCAAGAGGAGATTTAGCTTTGTACATGAAAAAAATCTACACAAAATAGATAATGTGACTGATTAAAGGACTAAATTCTAATCTATAGTGATGTTTTTGGGGATTTAAGGGTTGAAATTAACAAGAAAAAACCCACAGATCCAACAAGAATACTTTTGACGGAAAGGATGAAAGAAGATGCAAGTGATGGAGATGGATGAATGTTTACAGCTCGATTAAAGCTGGTGATTAACAGGAGCTTTATGCTACCAGAGCTTGTTGTTTCCCTGTCAGCAGGTTCTCAGATTATTTATTCCTGAGAGATAAAGGTCACGGACTTCAGTGGATCTGACAGCTGTAACTCTAAAAAGCCCACCAGATGCAGAAGTCATCCACTCGTTTGCTGAACTGAAACCTAGAAACTGACCTTGGCGATTCCTAAAGAGATGTCACGTCAGGCATCGATTTTTTCCACCACTACGTGTTGCTTAACGCAGCACTCCTCTTTCGTACAAAGATTACAGCTGGTGCCCTCAGTGACCTGCTGTCCTACTCACGTCTGTGTGTGATGAAGGAGAGGAGCGAGGGGCGAGGTGTGAGTCCCTATCCTCACCCCCCACCCAACTCAATCCACAGGGACTTCCAGCCACGGTCACACTTAAGATGCTGAGTTTGTCGTGGCATTGACCACCGACACATGGCTGGTGCAGGGCCCACGGCTATGGAGCACTAAATCATGCTGATCACTGCCATCCTATACATGTCTTTACTTTCCTCTGAGACTTTAAGTCACAAGCTGACGGTTTACAGTTTTCTGCAGAATTCTGCAAAATGTCTATTTCTGATGTTCCTAATCTGTCAGTAACTCTAAATTTGCACAACAGATTTGTGTTAGTCTAGGGGCTCAAGACACAGCGTTTAAATAATTTAGCCTCCAAGTTCTTCTTTTGTTCCAACATTAATGCAGCTGCAGGAACAAACTTAAATACCAGACCCAGGGCTTGCTGCCAAGACAGAAATGATCTTCCACCTCCACCTCAGTGATGCTCTTCACAGGAGCGACCCCCTCCTCTCCAGGTATCGTGTCATTATTTAACCAGCCAAGCATGTTCTGCACAGCATGAATTATTTGTTGGACTTACACTTTGTCGGTGAACGCTGTTGGAGGGGCTTTGCGAGCGGCGACGATCACGATGATGAAGACCACGATGAGGAACAGGGCAAGGACTGCGCCCATCACAGCTCCGACAACGGTGATGGAGTTTGTCCGCTCTGCTTTGGACTGATCTGAGACAAAATGGGGGGAGGGGGGGGGGGATGTTCCCAGGTAATCAGAAGCTAGCACAAACACTTTCAAACTCAGTCCCATCTGGACGTGCCAACAAGGACACAAGACATTTTTAAAATGTCTGAACACCGATTGCAAACCTTTCTGTAGAATCAGGCAGTGTCCTGATTTGTACTGAAGCATGTCCACATTTATAGTGTCAGAAAGGTCAAAGGTCACCCCATCAACATGGGAGGTAGGGACAACATGCATGTAAAGCTGCACCAAAACCCACAAAACAAGCTTCATTTACACAAATAGGTCATTTTGCTTTCACTGTTTCCTAAACATGAAATATCAAATGTTTGTACAAACTTACCTCCAGCTTCTTTCGACTTTTTCCTCGTGTTTCTCCTGTTTTAGCACAGCAGATGCTGAGCGTGTGCACAAAGCTGTACCTAAACTACTAAAGTAAAGACTATGACTCTGTTCTCCATCCATCCAGATTCTTGCTCAGCAGTCCGGTTGTTGGGCGTTTTTCTGCACAGTGTGATGAATTAGCTTTGTTGGACCATATGTCTGCATATGCCGCATCCTGTCCACTGAGGGAGGATTAGGATTATTTGTGATTAAGATGTATTAAACAGAAGCAGAACAACAAGCTTTGGTCAAAGCTTGTGAGAGTGGGGGCGCTGGAATGGAAATGGAGGACAAAGGAGGCAAAATGTGAAGTGGTCAGTTCCACCTGATTTGGCTGCAGATATGGGATTAAATCAATGAATCCCTGAGGTGAGAAGTCTAGATAACGGTTCACTTATGGTGCAGATGAAACAGTTTGGGACTTCTGAAAGCCGTGTCTCATTTAGCCTCTGCACAGGTTGTCCTGGAACAATTAATAATCGTATGATTACCTTTGATGGCGGCTGAATGTCAACAAGGGCCTCTTGAGTTAATTCTGTTAGAAATCTAGTTCATCAAGCTGGCTGCTTTAATGCCTGGTGACAGACATTTACTGGGACCTTCACAAGGAGACAAAAGGACACAGCAACTGCTGCAAACCCACAACACACAATGCTAATTCAGAAGTTCACACTCCAGTCTGTCTAGCTCAAAAATGAGGGTGATTTGACTCATTCGTGTTCAGAAACACTGGATTCATGTTCGGTTTGGATATTTTGTGCCAGTTTTAATCTCAGATTAGTGGCGGATCAGCTGTCCCCAAACTGGGATTTGGCTCCCTTCTGTCCTTTGGAAGACTCTTCCACTTCGGCACTGGGCTGCACACACACCATCAGAGCCCAGCCAGGTGAAGAGCGCGCTTCTGCTCAGCGAGGGGAGGTCAGCAACGCAGACTTATGAATTAAACACGACACACTTTGTGGCCCCAGCAGAAAGCACAAGAGCAAGCACAAACACCCCCAGGGCCATGCATATGTTTGTGCAGAGAGTGGCCGATCAGAGCCAGGCAGCCTTAGGTTCCCGCCTCTTCTGGGGAGTTGATATCAAAGTGTCTCCCTCACACACACTCTTGTCAGCGCTGCACCCCCCCTAGCGCTGACTGAGACGTTCGCTCACTCCTTTGTGTGTTCTGAAAAGTATCCTTGGAAACTGTTGTCGCCGGCGAAAAGCAAATCTCCTGATCTTTTACACAAGTGTTTCAAACAAATTCCAGCTCTGCTGGCCGACATTACGGAGCTGCATTTTATTTTCAGACTGTCCTACTTTAGGTCAGAGTGACAGCTGCTGTGACCACGATGAAATCCACAAAAGACACACGGGTCAGCTCAAATGGACTTTCTTTGTGTCTTTTGAGAATCTAAAGCGCAACCTTAACAATGTCAAGGTCACATTGGACGGTTTTGTCCTCCTAGCCAGAGGAGCTCTCTGTAACGCAGCAGAGTGTAATGGGCCATTTTCACTTCCAGAAGCCAATTCTCTCTTATACTCTGCCTTTCACAGCTGCACGGTTAACCTCTCAGCTCGGTTCAGGCCCGCCGCTTTCCGTGGCCAGGTAGGAAGACAGCCTCCATCAGCAGCTCCAGATGAGCTTGTTGCCATGGGGACAGTCAATGGGCAGGAGAGTGGGGACTTTGGGCCAGTCGGAAACACTCAGCGTTTAATTTTACCAGCTGGTAGACGTCGAGGGGTGGGGGGGTGGCACGAGGGTGGGAGAGTGGTGAAGCGCTGCAGGGGAAAGCGGAGGCCTTGCTGTCTTGAAACGAAACAGACTGGGTCCAGCGAAGAGGGGACAGGAGACACCGGGTCTTCCCATCGGACCACAGCTCAGTGCTACGACTACTAACCGTGTAATGAAGAGTATAAATAAACAGTTTGAATCAGATTGTGATGATAAATAGTAACAATTACACAAAGTGAGAGGTGGTGATGGGGTGAGAAAAAAGAAAAAAGCGCTGGAATGACATCATTTTTAGCGTGCTAAATATGCACGCTGGAATTTGGGGGGGGGGGGGGGGGGGGGGATGCAGCAGCATGCGTTGGGGAGCTGGAGATGATGTCATTTATAGATGAACAAAGAGGCTGAGACTGAGCAGTCTGAGTAAGAGCACGCAGAAAAAGCTCCAGAGGAATAAAAAGAAACTCACAGGTGCTAAGGTGCTTTATTGAACAACAGCATCTCAAAAGGATTGACAAGATAATGCTCTACCGCTGTCACCGACATAAATATCTCGTTTTTTCTTCTTCAGCTATATTTACAAAAAAAAAAGGACCACAAGGTGCTTTTTATTGACGTGAGACTGAATCATTCAGCCCCTTTAACCGCTCACTTATGGAAACTGAACCCCTGACGGACACGCATGAAGCAGACAGAAGACGCAACTCGTTCAACAGCAAAACTCACTCCAGCTCGAGCTTCGTGGGTGTTTAATGCCTCTAGGTTGACAAATATACTCTGTTATGGCAGAAAAGTGAATATGGCACGAATAATTCCTCCTGGCACAAAGTGGAATTAAATATGCAACAAACAAATCCCAGAGGAAAAACAAGTCTTCACATCAAACAAATGAACAAAAAAATGACACAATTCTAAGATTCTAAGGCACTATTTGTATTTTTCTACTTAAATACATTTCTCAAGGGTATCGGTGATCTCTGTATAAAATTTAGTACAAAAGAACGTCATTAATCCAGATGCAAGGCTAAGAAACGGGAGCAGAAACAGGTTATTGATTAAAAGAATTTCCGTTTTAGTGCAAAGAAGCAACACAAAAAGGGTTCAGGGTGCTGTGTTTCCTGCTTATTTCCTACAAAAAAACAAATATGAAGAGAGAACCTGAACATTCAGATGGGTTGGGACTAGGACAGCTCTGCCCAGGGCAAAGATGGAAGGAGTACTTTTAGATAACCACTAAATGTAACAACAGATTTGCAGGAACACAGCCCTGGCTGCTCTGCATTTTCGCACCTTTTTAAAACCCCACTACTTTCTCCTTAAGTGTAAGATTTCAGCGCTTTGACACAAAGAAAATTTCACACGTGCACGATTCCAGGATGGCTGCAGAACGCTCAGATAGAAAACTGGCACATTAACACAAAACGTGTTTCTGGAAAAAGACAAATGATTATTTTTTGCAACACGTAAACCATCAGTGCACCTTTTATTCATAGAGCTTAAGCACGTCTACTTTACTGCACAGTTTTTGAAACAATAGAAACCGAAGCTGTGTGTGTGTGTGTGTGGGGGGGGTCTTTTCTTCAGTGGCTCTTCAATGAACCTCAAGAAACATCTGCAGCCTTATAGGCTGCACTAAAACTCACAACCAGGTGAATAATTATTTATACACTTCTCATTTCAACAGCTATGCTAGTATGAAATCATCTCTTCTATTCCAGCCTACCCTGTACACAACAGCAATACACTAGCTAGGATCTGTTGTCAGTAATACTTATGTTACACACTAATATCCTAATTCTAAATACAAGTTAAACAAAAATTTGGCATCTGGTAGCAAATATCATAGAGGTGACAATACTACTAAAGTTTATTCACAATTTGAAGACATGAAAGAAACAGTTTGATCTCCCCATGCAGGATAGTAAATGGGTATAAGTGCCAAAATACAAGAGATTTGATCTTTATATAAAAACTTTACATCGATAATCAGTTAAGAGTCTGAAAGGTGAACTACTAGAGCAGTACAACCAAAAACACTGACGAGTAAAAAACAAGGACATTTCTCCTACGTTTAGTCACAGTACTTGGTAAATCCTGCAAGCTTTAAGAGTTTTGACTGGCAATACGACGAGACGTTAAAGTGAAATGATAATCTTTTTGGGATTTAGATTTACTGAGTGCAATACGATATTCTCTTTTGTGCAGTGGATGAGTTAAAAGTGCTGATAACCACAGGTGAGAGTTTTTAAAATCTCAATTTGTTTCGGCTCGTTTCATTCCTAAAGAGCAGCAACTCATGGATGCCTCCGACCGAAACCGGAACACTGATTGCTCATACCCTAGGAGTGGTGTGTGGGGAAAAATAAGACTGACTAATAAAAAAAAAAAGTCTCTGTAAAACAAAGTTCTTTGTGACTGAGAGGGCAGTGTATGGTGGCTGTCATGCTTCTAACAATACCCTGCTGATAGCATTCTTGTTTTACCAAGAGTCCTCGTTTGGTGCCAGTGTTTCAAATTCCTCAAAAGACCCTTTTTTATATAACAGACAACCGGACATTAGGAACACATTTAGCTAACTCATAAATCACCTTAAATGGTTCCCAAAAACCAGTAAATCAATTCCATTAACTTGGAACTTTTTGAGTTGTGATGTGCAAATTAAGGCTTGACCTGTTCTGTTACCCGGGGCTCTCTAGCTGTCCCTCCCCACTGACGAAGAGACGAGCAGAGGACACAGTCGTCTCAATCTCTAAACTCTCTCTCACACACACACTCCCGAAGAGCAAGAGGCTTTGTCAAAAACAAATGAGTCAGTCAACCATCACAGAGTTGTGCAGAAAGCAATGCGATCTATGATATTGTGTGTGTGTGTGTGTGTGTGTGTGT